AAAAAACTAACTCAAATTTGTAGACTTGAACCATAACTGAGTAAGCAAACGGCTTCATCAATTAATTATCAAGGGAGTCAAAAGTATGCAGCTTCCTCACAGGTTCATTATACACTCTGTGTTATGCGGCTACTAGTGTGCGTGTGCGTGTGCGTGTGTGTGTGTGTGTGTGTTACAACATGGCATTTACCGACGTACAAGGTAAACACACCCTGCAACATCCCCCACACTAATTCAACATATTAAGCCTCCTAAGTCTATGTGTCAACAGGAAGAAGGTACAGTACGTGTCTGACAGCAGTCCTTCACACACCCTCCCTGGTAACGTCGTCTGGGTGAGGCTTCGTGCTGTCCTGAGCGGAAACACCTTGGGTATTGTAGGAGCCCACTGAGGCACCTTTCTGTCACGAACTTGAAATTACGTCTTGGTTGAGTGCGTTTCCTACTGTAGAGCCACACATACGTGAAGTCTGTACCTCATACCAAACCTTTTAAGTGTGTTGATATTTCTCAATACATTTTCTGCATCAAGAAGTGGTTTATACTCGAAGTGACTCGAAAATGATTCAGGATGAGCCAGACCGCTTCAGCTCACCGTGAGGAGGAGGAGGAGGAGGAAGAGATACTTCAAGATGATACACAATGAAACGCTGTGATTTATTACCCTTGTTTCGGCCACTCCGGGTGAGGATAATGACAGTGTTCTCCCACACATCCTCCAACACGATATTCTCAAACTGGTCTCTTAAGGTGCGAGTCTCTTATAAGGATTTTCTTGGTATATGAGATCACCTGAGCAATTATCTGACCCATTTCGTCAATGTAATTCTTAAGTGAAATTTCAACACAGAATCTCTTAACGGTGTTGTGTCTGTTGGTTTAATATCTAGAAAGTCATAATATTCTGGTGATCTCATTACTTAAAAGCATTGCCCAGCCGTCACCTGTCTGATATACCTGTATAATCAATGTGGATATAATTTAATAAACGGTTCCCCTTTCTCCTTCTCTACCGTTTTCTTCAGGGATAACTAACAAAGATAACAATAGAACAGTTGTTTGATAACAGTATATATTTCTTCAACGATACACATTTTAACACTAACCTATCTTCTTTTCTTCCGTCACATACAAGCGAGTGTGTGTTACTCCCCCGTCACACTTACCAGGCGGCCGTCACACACTAACACGGGCCCTTCTTCCCATCTTTCTTGTATTTCAGTGTTACCAGAGCCGCTAGCTGAGGTAGAGAGAGATGAGTATGATATGGCAACACAACCACACACCAAGTTATGCCAGGCGAACAGGTAACACTCCTATAGCCTGTGTCCTTTGTGATAAATATATGTTTACATCTTTTTATATGTATTATATATTTAAGTACGTGAATATGTATATACGTAATCACAAATCTACGTAATCATGTCATCACGTACAAATATTATCAGGTAGATTTGTGATGACATATACGTGATCGTAAACATTCGCAATTATATACATACGCTATCATAACTGTCCGTAATTATAAATATACATAACGGTCATGAATGTACCAGTTATATACAGTACGCATACATGTGGAAAAGTATAAACAAGTGAACAAGACTGTGTATGTGGCAGTGCGGAGAAGGTAAACTAACACGATACCTTGAACCAGGATAGCATGTGGGGGTGTGGTGACGAGGAGGAGGAGGTCCCCTGTGTATTATGGGCACACCTGACAGCAAGAGCAAGGAGCAGCACTAACAAGCACACACAACAAAACCTGACACACCTGACACACCTGACACACACACACACACACAGCTGGCAGGTAACTGGCTCAACACGTCTTAAATTCTGCAACACAAAAAACACAACCAAGAAGTATTCCATAAAGCTGCGTCAGTGAGGGTTGCTTAGTTGTTTCGCTCATCCAGGATTAGCATTCATAGGTTCTTCCACATACACCCACGCTATAATGTTCCCAGTACTGCTTTAATAACTGTGTGGAAATCATTTGTCTACCGATGGACAGATAGACAGACAGCTCCATAATTATATTTCCCCTGAATCACTCGCAGCGGGGGATAAAAGCGGTGGAAATTTGGAAATGAAAAATGAACATAGTTAAAATTCGGTAGAAATCCAGGTGTGTGTGTACTGTATGTGTTTGGGTAAATATACACAAACATACTAACCCCTCCCCACACACAAACACACACCATTAAACATCTTACAAAGACTCCAACAAACACACACAAACATGACCACACAAACACACACTGACCTTTCACTTGGGGAGCCTCACAACCTTGCTTTATTCAGCATCACAATACAATAAAAGGGTCGCTGTAGGTCCCGTGGCGTGGCCTGGGCGTGGGAAGGCGGAGGTAAGTGAGGAAGGCGCGGGTAAACGTGGGGGAGAAGAGAGGAAGTGGTGAGACAGTGGGAAAGAGAAGAAAACGTGGGAGAGAGGAAAGTGGGAGAGAGAGGAGACTGCTGACAGCGATAGGAGGAGGGATTGAGGGAGTGGGTGAGGGGTGAGGGGTGAGGGGGTGAGGGATAAGGAGAGGGTGAGGGTGAGAGTGAGAGAGGGAGAGCTAGTGATAGTGAGAGAGAGAGAGAGAGAGAGAGAGAGAGAGAGAGAGAGAGAGAGAGAGAGAGAGAGAGAGAGAGAGAGAGAGAGGCACCTGATTTCCAGGCAGCGGCACACAAGAGAGTTCTTATGTCC